CTCTGATGACGAATCCGCGACGGACCTCGAAACGTCAGGCGAATAAAAGTATTATCCCAGCGATCGAGTCCTCTCTTTCTCAATCCTTAGACTTCCTGACCAATGAGGTCTCCTTCTTCCGGTACCTTGGTGTTACTCTGACGTCTTATCTTTCATTTACTTCCCCTATTGAAACCCGCTTCATTAAAATTCGAAAACCTCGATATTATATTCGTCGGTTAGGTTCAAAGTATACAAGTCAAGCCCTAACCTGGCCAGTTATAGGTGCCTGCATTCTCCCCCTCCTTGTCTACTGCTTACTGGTAATTTTTCAAGCCTTGCTTAAAAAAGACCTGGTCATTTATAAACGTATCCTCCGAATGCTCTTTTCAGCTGCTGCTGTTTCTGATGTCTTTTAGCTGATATTATAATAGAGCGACACTTTAAAACGGTAAAACAGTTTGCCGATCGCATTCTCGATGAGTTTGCTCACACACCGTACGCTGAATTAATGGCTGCGAATTAATTCCGTATTATGCGCTTCCGACACATGTCCTGCCGTACATCGGCATATCAACATTCTGTACTCAAAAACAAAAACTTAATTTACTGCGTGCAGCAGAGTAGGTGGTCAACAAAATTTGGCAGACGGGGCGGACGGGGGCAGGTGAGGGGTGGCAATCATGCAGACATTAAACCTCACCTCCACGAGGCTATTGAGAAGCGGAGATAATATGTACTCAATAACAACTACTAATTACTAATTAGTAATAATGGTACTAGCAATAGTAAGACTTACAGCGAGTCGGCTACAAGGTGATAGTTTTTCTTCGTCCCATCCGGCATCTCAACAGTGAGACAAAGCGGGAACTCCTGGGGGTCCTGGCCAGTGTTTGCTTCAATATTGGTCACAGTGGCCGGCTCTGACACTTTGTGTGGGGTGATAACTACAGAGTGTCGGCTCCGCATGGAGAGTCTTTCGATTTTCGAACGGAGGTGGTGTTGGTGCTGATTGTCTCCCTCAACCTCCACTCCGTCAGTTGCACTTGAAATACTCTGATGTTTCGATCTAAGATCATTGATGTCCGGTAGGGGCCGCTTCACAAAAGCCTTTATTTTCTCCAAAGGACAGACTTCAAGCACATAAAACTTTTCCCTAGATCAACAGCAATAGGAAGGTTGACTGAAGGACACCTGAGAATAAAAAGCACGACAATTCACGAACAGGACTTATTCAAAATACAAGAACCATCTGATATAGTTTCCGTGGTGGCGGAGTTCTTATAGTGAGCAAATTCCTATAACTGGCAAGTTCGCAAAGTAGAGGATCTGGCCTGTGCAAGGAGCAAACTTTCATTATCTTATCTATGATCATCTGGTTCGAAACTCACTACACTGCCTACTTATTTATTAATAGTAAGCATATTTTTCTGAACCTTATACTTCGAAACAGTCCATTCCCAAAAAGAAATCTTTAGCTTCCTGCAGTTACTTTTAGTTTTATTAGTTATAGTTCAGTTTTAAGTTTCCTTTCGTTTTGTTTGGCCTAGTTTAGCCAGTTTTGCTTTAGTTAAGTTTTCCTTAGATTAGTTTTAGTATAGATTTTGTTTAATAAAGTTTTTCGTCTAGTTTAGTTTTACATGAGTTATAGTTTTTAGCTAGCTCTGGTTTTCATTTAGTTTTGGTCTTGTGTAGTATTTATTTTCTTAGTTACCCTTATAAGTTTGAGTTCTGTTCAGTTTACCTTCTCTGCGTCTAGTTGGTTTGGTGTGGTTTTGGTTAAGGTTTTCTTGTATTTATTTATTTTATTTTGGTTTAGTTTTAGTTCAGTTTAGTTTTTAGTTTGTTATTTAGTTTTATTAATTATCACGCGATTTTTATTGCAAAATATTAGGTTATTTAAATGTTTTCCTATTTTCTTCTTTTTTATGCACTCCAATTATTTTTTCTCTTTTTCTTCCCCTGATGTTCCCTACCCCTTTAAATCCACTCACAACCGAAGGATATTGAAACTCATTGATAAACGTTCACGCGACCGCTAACGGAAATCATATGTTCCTGGCTGATGACGGCTAATAAGCCAGAAATGGCCATTCGAGTCTACCTTGCCTTTGCCGGTACAGTAGTCGCCGGTTATTAAGCCCACGGCTAATAGGCCCAGCCACGTATT